CCTATGACTCAAATGTGAAGGAAATATGGAAGTTTACCATTTCCATAATATATATAGAAAAACTTTGATGACTGTATGTCAAGAATAATAAAATTGTACCAAAGTGAGAATGGTTGGCACTACCTTAAGTTATTTAGACAAACACTGAGAAAGGATGGGTTTAAAAAGAAATTCCAGCTTATGCTGTTGGAAAAATGCATATAAATATTAGGAAAAGCAAAGATGGTGCAAGAAGAAGATGCAAAATATGTTCAAGATTTGAATTAATTTAATTTTCAAAAAAGGCCAATGAGGTAAAATATCTACAAGAGAAATTTTCTCAAGAATCAAATAAATCAAATGAGACTAAAGCTGTATTTTAAAATACGGAGACACCCAATAGGTTAGAGACTAGACCAGCAGAGGGCGCTTCATGGAGTTCAGTGAAGACATTCAACATGGTTAAGACCTTTGTTAAGCAATATACATGGATTGCGAGAGTTATTTAGTTTGATTTTAGATATGAGTTCTCAGATGCAAAGATTTTCATTAGTGATTACAGGTAACTTGAAATTCCATTCTCTCAATGTATTACATTATCCCAGTTGAATTCAGTTATCTGTACTGTAAGAACAAAAGTAAATTATGTTCATATAAACAATGGGAATGTTAAAAAATACATTAATAATTTTATAAAAATGAATTAACTTACTATTATGGCAAGCAAAACAGTGGGATAAAGTTTGGTTGCAGGGCTGTGATGGTGGAAACTATGAATTAAATACATCAAAGTAACTGAGTGGTAGCAAATTATTTCATGATTCTTAAGATAAAAAATATAGTAAGTTCTCATTTTCTCTGTGCCTGTGTAGACGGACTCTGTGTTGCAGCTATTCTATCTGATACCATTAACATTTTTTACAAATATTGAATCTGATTATGTGAAACAGAAATAATGTCACCTGTTTAGGAGTTTGGAAGACTGAAAAGAAAGATACCAGGTAGACTTAGTTAATTTTATAAAACTTTACCTCTAGGGCATTTGATTAATGTTCACTGATGCAGCTAATAACTTTGAAGAGGAAAGTGACGGATGCTAAAAAATGATTGTAAAGAGATAGACTGTGATGGAATGTGTAGGGATGGAAAGGATTTCTACACCAGAGAAGGGAAATAAAACTGGGTGAGGGTCACTGGGAGGATCACTTGCAATATTCTGCAAGCTTTTTGTAAAATATTATTCTGCAAAAGAAGTCTGTCTAAAATTATCACAGGTGAGAAATTTAGCTGGTCTAGTCATCCTACGAAGTGTGTGTTACAACCACTTGGCAGTAGACTGATGAATTATGCCATAAAAAGCAGAGACCTTCAGGAACCTGACAATCTTTCAAGTTTTAATGAGGCATAAATCTGGCCACATCTCTTTTTTCCAAATCCCTGCCTCCACCCCACAAAGACAAGTAGGCTGTAAACCTTTCTGACTATTGCTACTGAAAATGTTTCATGGAAGTGATCGTGCAAAAGAAGAAATATAAACATATTTGCAGGATTTCAGGATGGTACAATGATGTACAGTAGTGATTAAAATAGGAAGGTTGCCAGGGCTAGAAATATAATTTGGGAAGTCTAAGTAGAAAAAAATCCAGTAGAGATTCCTTTGTCTTTAAATATTATTTGAACTGGGTATGTACAAATATAGGATATAATTCAGGACCAGATATTCAACCAGAATTCAGAATATGTCAACATCTCAACAGGATTGTAATGACTCAGGGTCACTCTCATTGCACCAGAACCACACTGTGCTTATGCAAACAAATTATATGCATTTGCTCTGTGTTCATACACATGTACACACATCTGTGCTAATTTTCATACTGTAATGTAGACAGTTCTACATAATGCCAAAATACGTGAGCTCAGTTCTTCTCCGATGCTTTTACTGTAATTATATTGAGTTTGACTAGAACCACAGAGATGCCACTAAATGATTAGATATTGCATATATGAGGAAAACAGCATTTTAAAAAAGCAGTGCCTGAATGAAGTCTCTTTCTATTGAGAAAGATCCTCTATTTACACACACACACACATACACACACACACCTCTACACAGCACCCCCACACATAATAATCTGCATATTTATTTTTCCTTAGAAAATTCACCATCAAGTCATTCTGATATATTTAAAGTAAGAATAATTCTCTTAATAATGGCTTTGGAAGCTAATAAACCTTTAAGTATTTCATATCCTATTTTAGCTAAAATCAACTTTGAAAATTAATGCAAATTATACTTGCTAAATTTAGGAATGGAATATAATTCTAGGCAATGTAAGAACCACAATACATAGTTTTAATTAAAAAAAAATCCTGCTAGGCAATTTCACAGATACTCAGTGGTTCATGAGTCTATATCTGCATTTCATTTCAGCTAAACTGTACAGTGAAAGCTACAGGGCAAAGAAAAGAGACAACATAATCTTTAGAGAAAGTTATAAAATTCAAAATAGAATAAATTTGGTTTGTAATGATCTTTTTTCGGCTTTAATAACTTGATTATGTAAATTGTTCTCAATCACGTAGTAATGAAGTCTTGGTTCAGTGAGTTTAGTAAAATTAAAGCATACACTACAATTTGAAAAATATTTCTATTTGAGCAAATACCTGATTCATTTGGAAAGGTAACTAAATACTTAAAATAACATTATAAACATATTTATAAGTATACAGAATAATTAAACATGAAATTATTTACTCCTATGTCTGGTCATAAAGAGCACTGAAAATAAATAAATAGTTCATAGGGAGCATTGTGTTGTGTACCAGAAATTGACACAACATTGTAAACTAACTATACTTCAATAAAAATATATTAAAAAGAAAAAAATAAATAAATAGTTCACATGGTAAAATTTACTTTCCATTTGAGATCTAACATTTAATCACTGAAATGAGGGGAAAAAGTCAATCTTGTTTTCACTTACATTTATTCTCTAATATACCATCTCTACATGACACATTATTACCTGCAGTTGATTGTAATCTAATTATGCCATTCATTTTAATCTTAAAAATCTCATTATATGAATTTTGGCTTTAAATTACATAACATTAGCAGAAAAATTGTTGCTAATGTGATTATAAGTCACTCCAGTCTGAAATTTGTTACAAAGGAAACATGCCTACCTACCATGGTTGTCTCGGCAATAGAACCAAAGCTGTTTATGAATATGTTGCATGTGACATTAACTGGAGGGCCTGAAAAAGAGATTTAAACAGAAAGGCTGTTTAGATATTCATCTAAGACATTTTCAAATAATTCCACGTTTCTAATTTGTAGTTTAAAAGAAAGAAAAATTCTCTATAGGCATACACATAGGTGCTTAACATTGACGTCAACCACTGTCTGAAGAAATCTGGATTGCAGATCATAAGTTCACCGTCTCCTTTGAGCACTGATGCTGCCCAGTGTATAAGTCAATCTCTTTCAGCCTCAGTTTCCTAGATCTAGTAATCTCTTAATGGCTCCGTAGACATCTGGTTTAGCAACGCCAACATCTGAGCCCTTCAGGGAGGTTTGATTCCTCCCTCCCCCATGTACGGACCATATTTTCCTGTTTCTCTGCATGCTGCACAAATCTTTGTTGGAAATTGGATACTTTGGATAATATTATGTGGCAGCTCTCTAAACCAGACCTCCCACTTCCAACCCACAGTGTTTCTTATTGCTGTTGTTTGTTGCTTAGTGACTTGCATGAACTAATAATACTTGTGGAGTGTATTTCCCTAGAGTGCCCAGCCACTGGGGTGTCGGCTCGGTGAGTTTGGTGATCAACTAATGATTGATCAGAGATTTCCTAAACGCCTTGAACCAGTAAGCCTTCCCCCTTCGCCATGTGACTTCACGTCTGCGGGGAAGGGCATGCCTTTAATGGTCATGCCTTGCCTCCACTTCCTCCTTGCATGGACTTTGAGTTCAGTCAGAGGTGAGAGGCTGGGGCCCTTCTAGGACTTTCCTGGGTAGGACACAGCCCTACATATACATGTAGAATCTTGATCTACAACAGTATGTAACTTTTCAAAGCTGCCTCTGGGCATCTCATTCCCCAGCTCTTCTTCTGAAATGTGTGTTCAAGCTCTTGTTTGCCCGGTTGGTATCACAGCCTTAGGCAGCCACAGTGTTAAACAATTTTCTGTGATTGTTTTCAACAAATGCCCCGATGATAGGATTTTCCTAAGCTCAAGTAATGACAAGCCCTCTCAGCGGGACTCTTCTAGGAAGTAGGCCAGGCAGGGTGAACAGAAACATAGCTGGGGGAGACTTTCTGAGGAGCAGATCCAGTCTGCCCCCACTGGACTTGTATAGCTTCTGGTGTTGAGAGCCTGCTGGTTTTCAAAGCTACCAGGAAGCTGGGGAGTGGGCCAGACTTAAATATCTTCTATTCTTAGAGAAATTCATAACTTTTTCTTAAACACTTCTCAGAGTGTCGCAAGCTTTTGGCTAACTTTCAGAGTTCTAAAGGTTAATTTTGATAATTTTGCCAGTGTTTTTGTTGCTTTTCTGAAGGAATGAACTTACAGAGATCCTCACTGCACCATTCCAGAAGTTCCCTGTCACTGTCTGATTTGGTATTCTCATAAAACTGAAGATTTTTTATATTAATTTGTTTACTAAATATCTAAAACCTGTGTACACCAAATCGAAGAAGATAATCACTATATAAACAAAAAATGCTGAAATATTGTGTGGTAGGGGTTAAAATAAATCTGAGTCGATCTCTACCTAAGTTTGTCAAAATTTATCTGAGCCTAATTTATTTTTTGGTTTGTTTTTTTCTCCTGAATATGATTAAGAGTAACTTAATTTTACAAAGTTCACTACAGAAGAGACAGCAGCCCCTTGCCCTCTCCTCCCACCTACCCCCCAAGTAGAGACAATCACTTCAACTCATTTAATAAACTCTCTGGGTGTTTACCTCAATTTCTCTGAATAGTGGATGCTTCAGTTTTAGACCTATGTTCTGATGCTCACAGCAGAAGGTAAGGATTTTACTTTCTTTCACACATTATCCCCACTCTACTAACAAAAACCTTTTTCTGTCCTCCCGTTACCCACAACAGTTGTCACTGTTGTTAGATCTGTATCCACTGTTTACATTATTATGACAAAGGAAATAGTATCTCCAACTAACCATGTAATATACTGTGATTACTCTTCCTTTCCTGTGGAACGTTTTCCTGGAGTCGATGGTTATTTCATGTATTTCACACAGTTTCCTCCATAGATACCATTAACTCACCCACAATGTCTAAATTCTGTTTCAGTATCAGACTCATCTGATACTCCATTAACTCTATCTTCCTTCAGGCTTACTCCAGTCTAGACTTTTTTGTTCTACAGCATCAGACTCATCTTATGAGAAAGATTCATCACCTCTCTCTTCTGTGGGACCTCCTTTCATGGTCCCCATACTTTCTTCTTTCCTGGCATATTTCTTCATTTTAGAGGAATATGTCCTTCATTAATTTTTTTGAGGAATGGTGCATAAGGATGTGAAGCCTTTCAGAACTTGCTTGTTCACAAATGTCCTTTCTCATGCCCTCACACATAATTAACATCTAAATTTGGTACAAAATTTGAGGCCAGAAGTTGTTTTTTCTTCTCCATTTTAAAGACATTATCTTCATTATCTTATATTCTCTAGTATTACTATTGAAAAATCCAAAGCCATTCTGATTGTAGACCCTTTATAAAAATAAACAGGATGTTTCCTTTGTACCATTTTTTTTAAATTTATAAAACTGCTTCATTAGTTAAAATAGTTTATCACTTGAGGTTTTAATTTACATTTACTTGATTACTGGTGCACAATTTTCATCTTTGTCTTTCTACTCACTTTCTGATAGCATTCATCTTGCTGGAATAAGGTAGAGGAAAAAAAACAAAAAATTATTTTAAAATAAAATAAATCCATAGGCCTAGGAATCTATGTACATTGAAATCATCTGGTAATCTTTTAAAAAGATTGATACCTTCTAATTTAGTTGGTATGCCATGCAACCAAGGCATTGATATTTTTAAAAGCTCCCTACGTGACTCAGATGTGCATTAAGGAATTCCAGACTAGGAAAGATCTGTGGCCATTATAACATAGCGCTAAAAATGAACTGGGGTTTTCTTAGAGATAGTGAAATAGAGAGAGGGGAGTCAGGACTTAGAAAATGCAAAGCTATTATAAATTTGGTCAACCTGCAAATAAAACTTAATTGATATTATGTATTTAAAAAGAGACCGAAGTCTCTTGAGTATCAAAATGCCTGGAAAATAACATTCAAACAGATACAGAAGCTACCTTTTTTTAAAATATGAAGGATGGACATGTAAGAAAACCTCAAAAAGGCCCTGAGTCCTGGAAATGCTATAATTATATTTATGACTATTAAAAAGTTTTTTAAACTTGTTTTAAAAACATTTTTCAGACTGGATAATAAAGCAAGAACCTTCAGTATGCTGCATACAAGAGACCCACTTTAGGGAGAAGGACACATATAGATTGAGAGTGAAAGGATGGAAAAGGATATTCCATGCAAATGGAAAACCAAAAAAGCAGGTGTAGCAGTACTGATTTCAGACAAAATAGACTTTAAAACAAAGGCCCTAAAGAAAGATAAAGAAGGACATTTTATAATGATTAAAGGAGTGATACAAGATGAGGATATTACACTCGTTAATATATATCCACCCAATACAGAGCACCTAAGTACATAAAACAATTACTAACAGAGACAAAGGGGGATATTGATGGGAATACAATCATAGTTGGAGATTTTAACACCACATTAACATCACTAGACAGATCTTCCAGAAAGAAAATAAATAAGGCAACAGAGAAACTAAATAATACAATAGAAAATTTTGATTTGGTGGATATTTTCAGAGCATTACACCCCCCAAAAATAGGATATACATTCTCTTCAAGTGCACATGGAACATTTTCCAGGATTGATCATGTAGCTGGGCACAAAAGAAACCTCAAAAATTTTAAGAAGATAGAAATTATCTCCAGCATCTTTACTGACCACAATGCCATGAAACTGGAAATCAACAACAGAGAAACAAAGGAGAAAAAAGGAAAGCATAGAGATTAAACAATATGCTATTAAAAAACCAATGGGTCAATGAGGAAATCAAAGCTGAAATTTAAAAATACCTTGAGACAAATGAAAATGAAAGCACAACCACACAAAATTTATGGGACACAGCAAAGGCAGTGCTAAGAGGGAAGTTTATAGTGATACAGGCCTTCCTCAAAAAAGAACAATCTCAAATAAACAATTTAACCCACCAACTAAAAGAACTAGAAAAAGAAGAACAAAAAACCCCAAAAGGCAGCAGAAGGAAGGAAATTATAAAGATCAGGGAGGAAATAAATAAAATAGAGATTAAAAAACCATAGAAAAAATCAATCAAGCCAAAAGCTGGTTTTTTGAAAAAGTAAATAAAATCGACAAACCTCTGGACAAACTCACAAAGAAGAAAAAAGAAGGAGCACAGATTAGCAACATAAGAAAGGAAAATGGAGAAATTACAACAAATAAAATAGAAATACAGAATATCATATGAGAATATTATGAAAAACTACATGGAACCAAACTGGATAAGCTAGAGGAGATGGACAAGTTTCTGGAAACATACAGTCCACCAAGACTGAATCAAGGAGAAGCTGACCATTTGAACAAACCGATCACTAGAAATGAAATCAAAATAGCAATAAAAAACCTCCCTACAAATAAAAGTCCAGGATCGAATGGCTTCACCAGGGAATTCTATCAAACATACAAAGAAGAACTCATACCAGTCCTTCTCAAACTCTTCCAGAAGATTGAAAAGGAGGGAATACTCCCAAACTCATTCTATGAAGCCATCATCACCCTGATACCAAAACTAGGCAACAACAGTACAAAAAAAGAGAATTATAGGCCAATATCACTGATGAACATAGACGCCAAAATCCTCACCAAAATATTAGCAAATAGAATTCATCAACACATAAAAAAGATTATATATCATGACCAAGTGGGGTGCATTCCAGGGACACAA